TCATGGCACAGGAGGTCAAATGTGGCCAGAGACACTGCCATACAACACCGATTGGAGCAACATGTCAGGTCCCGGCTGCTTGGTTTCTGATCCAGTTTCCAGCTGATACGCTTGGGAACACAGTGGAAGATTCCCAAAGTGCCTGGGTTTCTGCCACCCACCTGGGAGACGTGGATGGAGCTCCAGGCTCCCGGCTTCAGCTTGGCTGAGCCTTGGTCACTGTGGCCAATCGGGGACTGAATCAATGGCTAGAAGATAAATCTCTCTCCTCTCTCACCTCCTCTCAGTCTGCCTTTCAAATAAGTAAGTTAGTAAGTTTTAAAACAAGAACAAGAACAAGAACAAAACAAAACAAAACAAAAATTGGGAAAGGGGTGGCACAATGGCTCAACTGGATAATCCTCTGCCATGCAACCCCCTACAACCCATATGGGTTCCGGTTCGTATTCTGGCTGCTCCCCTTCCTATCCAGCTCCCTGCTTATGGCCTGGGAAAGCAGTGGAGGACAGCCCAATACCTTGGGACCCTGCACCTGTGTGGGAGACCCAGAGGGAGCTCCTGGCTCCTGGCTTTGGATTTGCTCAGCTCTGGCCATTGTGGCCATTCGGGAAGTGAGCAAGTGGATGGAAGATCTTTCTGTCTCTCCTTCTCTCTGTAAATCTGCCTTTCCAATACCTGGCGCAAAGGTTCTTTTGCAGACTCCATGATGAACCGCACATTGAGCACCGAGCACAGGGTAGGCACAGGGAGCTTGCTCAGCCTTGGTTTGTGGGGGTCCAGTCACTGGCAGAAAAAAACCCCAACCCCAGAGGAGCGCCAATTCCTGTGGCTGGCATGGGAGCCGGAGTTAGGTCTGCTTAACATTTAATTCATTGTTAGCTGAGCACCCTTAACACGCTTACCCTCCCCAACCTGTACTCCAACATGCACCTTGGCAATCCCTCCGTGACTGTGGATAATGTACCCTATTTTTCTCACCCCTCACCAGGGCCTAGCATGCAGCTTTCAAATGGGCTGGCAATTTATCAGCAGCTCAGAGAACACTCAAGTGGCTGTGTGCAGCGTGCACCCTCGGTGTCACCCGCGGGGCTCCCACACGTCTTTCCCCACCACGTGGCAGTCTGTTATTGGCGTGCAATGACAGCAGTTCCTCATTTGATCCTCCCCGCAGGCTCTGACAGCGGCTGTATTGGATGTGGGGCGCGGATGTGGGCGCGGATGCGCGCGTGGTCATGGCTGACTGTGGCGCTTTTGTGCTTTGACACGTGGCGGCCTGGCGGCCGTGCCCGCTCCTCCACTCCCCCTCTCCCCACTGTCCTAGAAGCTTCCTGTTGATTCTCAAATCGAGGGTGGTGTGTCGTGCCCCACTGCTCACTGCCAGAGTGCCTGGGGTCCCAAAGGGACTCAGGAGTCAACGACCTCTGGCAGAGGGCAGGTGCTGGTGTGAACACCGGATCACTGACACGCTGAGAGAACAGACATGTTTAACTTTTTGACACCTGCCTTAGAATATGCTTGAAGAGGGAAGGTTCTGGAAGGGTTGATGGGAGGGGCAGTGGTTTGCAAAGCTTTCTAACTGTGCCTGACTTGAACTCACTGCTGTTTACTATTCGTGCCTTGCATTGGAGCATGTGTCTCTGCAGATCCTCCCGCGTGTGACCAGGGCACAGCCTTCTCTGAGCCGGATCTGTGCCATGAGCTCAGCGGAGGCCATCCTCACAGGCAGGGCTGGACTGTAGGAGGTGACAAGAAATGATTCATGTCAGCCTTGCTGCCACTCCCAGACCACCCCTGGCCTTCCCAGGCCTGGCTCGGCTATAGGAAGCCACGCTGCTCTGGGACACAAATGGCCAGCACGACTCGGGCCCCCGGAGCAAGCCCTTGCCCCTCCCTGAGCCTCCGTCTACTCATCTGCAAAGTAGAGCAACAGTGCCCTGGGACTCTCCTGGACAGCCAGGTGCCCTGCATTAACTTCTGTGCTGCCTGGAAGCCACACAGGTTCTCCTGCACAGTGCTGGATGGGAAGTGGAGCTGCCGGGATTAGAACAGGCGCCCATATGGGATCCTTGCTGACCATGCCTGATGCAATGGAAAGCTGTGGAAGAAGCTATTGTACTGTGTCGTTCTAGGAATAACAGCAGAAACAAAAGCCTGCCCGGGTTCAGCATGGACATCAGGGTTTTTCTGACTGTTTTCCATCGACAGTTTCTGGAGTCATCGGGCACAAACCTTGAGATGAAGGAATGGCCCACCGTGTGCTGACGCAAGGGTCAGGTTCAAGATCAGAGCCCTTTAACTTTGCCTCCACACAGGGTCGCAGGAGAGAAGTCCTTCTTTGTCGTGTCAGCCTGGAGCACGCAGTCCAGCCGTGTCAGTCCCACCAGACCGTTCTGTGCCTCCATTTCCTCATGTAGCAGGTGGGGGGTCACAGACTCATGGGGATCAGATTTCCTGATCTAAACCCTTCATGGCATGGATGGGGATACTGAGGCCCCCAGAAGGAATACAATGAGCTCATGGTCTTTGCGGAAAGGGATGGGGGAGTGGGCTTTGTGAAGCAAGTGGCTTTGAAGATGTTGGCTCCTCTGTACACCTGCTCTAACCCAGTTGAGCACCAGAGAGCTGCCTGGGAGCCAGGCTTGCTCCACAGAGGAGTGCAATGGCATGGGGCTGTCCACCAAGTTGAGCTGTTTCCAGGGGTCAGTCCTGGCCCGCAGCTGGGGCCATCCTGAGCTGCCTTACGTTACAGGAAGATTCGTGGTAGGGATCCCTGCTGGGTGACCTCAGAGAAGCAGCTTTGTTTCTCCGTTCTTCTGCCTACCAGCTGGGACTGGTACTGCCAGCACTCACTCTTGGCTATCTGTGAGGACCCGAGGACCTACACCTACCTAAAGTACTCACTTCCATGGCCACAGAGGCACTTTCCTGGACGCCCCACCCAAAGCAGCCAGCCTCACCCCCTACTGGCAGACACACAGACCAACTTTCCTGACCCATGCATAGTCTGCCCAGTAGTAGGCATAGCCATCCACTGACTGGTCCATGCGTGTGCTCTGTGCACAAGCCCTGAATTGGCACACAGACTGACTATGGATCCGCCCTGCATTCTATTACACGTGTATGGGGTGTGTGGGGCAGGTGACAGGTAATAGGACACCGTGTAGGACATCTGTGACTCAATTCCCACCTGCTGATGTGTCCCAGGAGGTAGCAGGTGACAGCTGAGGCTACAGGGAGCCAGCTTGGTGAACCTTCTCGTGGCTGTGGGCGGCACGCTTGGGTCTTGGCCACCACCTGAGGGACCTACGCTGAGTACCTGGCTAAGTTCCAGTCCCGGCTGTTGCACAATTTAGGGGAGTGGCCCAGTAGAAAGGAGATGTCTGTCTGCCTTTCTACCTTTTAAATATGTTTTCAAAGTAAAAAATAAACAAATAAAAATAAGGCCAAGTTCATATCAGATTGTAGGTATCTGATGAGGCCACATTGGACTGGGAGACGCCAACTGAGTTTTGTCTTTTGGTTTCTGTGGTGTGACCAGCCTGGGGTTGGGCACCAAGTATGCTCCTTACTGCTATACCAAAGGAGCTGACCAGTGCCTGAGTGGCTGTGGGAAGGGCACTTTCACTGGCAGTCTCCTCTCGCATCCGAGCTGCACCAGGAAGCTGGGCGGCAGGTGAGCTGCCTCTGTGGGATCCGTGTGCACTGGAGGTCCAGCCTGGGGATTTTCCATTTTCCCAGAAGTGTTGTACCTTTGTTGGGGACAGCAGGCTTGGTGTCCCTGGGGAGGAGGTTTGATAAAAATGACAGAGCTTAGGCCCGGCTCAGTGGCTAATCCCTGCCTCGCTAGATCCGGGATCCCATATGGGTGCTGGTTTGTGTCCCAGCTGCTCCATTTCCCATCCAGCTCCCTGCCTGTGGCCTGGGAAGGCAGGTGGAGGACGGCCCAAGTGTTGGAACTCTGCACCCACATGGGAGACTGGGAAGAAACTCCTGGCTCCTGGTTTCTATGCACTCAGCCTTGACCATTGTAGCAATTTGGAGAGTGAACTAGCAGGTGGAAGATTGTTCTGTCTTTTCTTCTCTCTGTAAATCTGCCTTTCCAATAAAATCAATAAATCTTAAAAAAAAAAAAAGAAGAAGTAGGGCTTGAGGTCAAGGCCAAGTACCCAGCAGTCCTTCAACAGAGCTGCACCCAAATCCAAGAGGAGGGTCCAGCAGGAGTAACGGATGCAGCAGGGACTTCTATCTCACAAATAGAGGAACCGAGACTGTGTGCTGGGGTGGGGTGTTGACTTGTCCCCGGGGTATAAATGGCTAGAGACAGACATTCCTGTTATTTGTAAGTAAGTGAAGTTTTGGGGAGAAAGGGTCAGGACTCAGGGAGTCTTGGGGTTCAACCCAGAACAGGCCCCAGCTCATCTCCTGGCCTTTCAATATTCTCCAGGCAAGATGGTCCTGGGTGGAGGTGTGAGCAGTGGCTGGGGTGCTCCGACAGCACACTCCCCATGGGGCGTGGGGAACGGGGAGTTGTTCACTGGCTTGACTTAGTCTCCAGCCTGCAGCAGCTGTCCACAGCTTCCTCCTTGTGTCCTCCTTGTGTCAGGTGGCACAGCCTGCAGCTGGGTAGCCCATGAATGATCCACCAGGTCCATGCCCCATGCCCATCACACAGAAGTGGAAATTGAGGCTTTGATCACCACCTGCCACCGCGCGACCTCTCTGTCTCCTGCAGTTCCTCATTCATCCAATCACGGCATCAGAGCCCTGGCCCGCCACGTGAGGTCTAAGGGCAATGATCAGCCCTGCCTTCACAGTTCAGGGTGCCATTATTGGGAGGAGAAAGGGTTCCCAAGGGCACAGTGGCATGGTCTGAGCAAGGATGGGAAAGGGAAGAAAGTCCTGTAGCAGTGCCATAGGGGGCAGTGCCCAGGAAGGCCCCTCTGTACACACACACACATACACACCCACAGGTGACATGGAAGCCAGGGGCCCTGACTCACCCATGACATTGAGGAAGATGTTGCCTGAGGCGAGGACCACCTTCTCCCTTGTGGCACGGTCGTAGATGCCCACGTGGCACTCGTAGGGGCCGTTGTCCGAGATGCGGACCTCGGGAAGCCTGAGGGGAACAGAGAACAGTGTGAGGGCCAGGCACTGCGGATCCAGGAGAGGCAGCCCTGGAGGAAGCTGGTCCAGCCTCTGCCTGCTCCACCCGTGTGCCTGGGTGCTGGGCTGGTAGAGCGGCAACATTTATGGAACACCAACTGTATATGGGCTCTAAGAACTGGTATGGGACTGAGAACTCTGGGACCTGCTCACTCTGCCACTTAATGTTCTGGGGATGCTGACAAGAAACCCAGTAAACTTCTCATCCCTGAGGGTAAGAAGGCGGGGACACCGGTCAGCTCTTCACACGGCCCTGCAAAAGCCTAAGCCGGGAGCTGGGTCCTCCCTCCAATGTGGTCAGGAGGGCTTCCCAGAGGAGGTGATCCACCAACCCCATCAAGCCTCCTTCCAGACTTTCCCCGACAGGGCCACAGTATAAACATTTCAGCAGTTGTGGTCCTTCTGCTCTCTGCAGCAGGTGCTCTGAAACCACTGAGGACAGGGTGAGAGTGAGTCAGTGTGGCCGTGGGTAGGACAGCCTTTGGAAGCATCCCAGCAGTTGGAATTTCCTGTCATTTCCTGGGGCTGGGAAGCACTCTTCTTTCAATTTTATTTCCTCCTCCGATAGTCTGCAAGTGAATGCCCATTTCAGAAATCCACAGACTAGGTCCTGGAGCTGTGGGTTGATGATCCTTGTTCTGGATGCTTCTACAGGATCAGACTGTCAGGAAGGGAGTTAGAAACAAGCCTGAGGGCATGGTGTGACAGCCTAGTGTCTAAAGTTTTCGCCTCACATGCACCGGGATCCCATATGGTCACTGGTTTTGATCCTGGCAGCCCTGCTTCCCATCCAGCTCCCTGCTTATGGCCTGGGAAAGCAGTGGAGGATGGCTCAAAGCCTTGGGACCCTGCACCTATGTGGGAAACCCAGAAGAGGCTCTGAGCTCCTGGCTTTGGATTGGCTCAGCTCCAGCCATTGCGGCTGCTTGGAGAGTGAATCATTGGATGGAAGATCTTCCTCTCTGTCTCTCCTCCTCTCTGTATATCTGACTTTCCAATAAAAATAAATTTTTTTTTTTAAAGAATAGGGAAACAAGCCTATGGGAAGGAAGACAGCGGGCTTCAGGTATCTCCCTGGAAGCCTCCCAGAGGTTTACCTCTCCAAGTCTTGCCCAGACCCCAATGGCTCCCCCACAAGGAAGGCTGCCTACGGGCATCCTCCAGTGCCAAGTGGGCTACCCATCCTGATAACACTGGGTAATAAAATCCTGGCAGGACCTCTTCCTTGTTCATACCCAGCCAACCTTTTGTCTCAAAGAGGGAGAGGGGAGGAGACATGGCAGGAATGGCTGGACCCTGTCCTCTTGTTTGAACACAGACTCTCAGCTCTCCCTTGAGCTGCCCGCCAGACCCGTCAGCTGTATTCTCTCCATTAAGCCTTGTTACCTGTCGGGGTGACTGGATGCTGGCTCTCAGAGCCTGTCTGCTGAGGTGCCCATCCGAGCTGACAGGTGCCCTGGTTCTCAGAGCCTGTCTGCCGAGGTGCCCATCTGAGCTGACAGGTGCCCTTCACCATTAAACCTGGCTACCTTGTTTAACATCACTCTGTCTCATGTCTGAATTGCATGAAGACGAGAACCTGTTCCACTCCACTGCCAACAACAAAGCATGCTGTCCTCTCTCCCTGGGAAAATGCAGGCAGGTCAGCTCTTTCCTGCCTCCCTGGTACGGCAACAGAGAGCATCAAGTCCAAGTTCTGTGTGTGCTGTTTGAGTGCTGCACAAATTTGGGTGAGCAGAGCCGGATACCTGGGAGTTCCACTTCTCATCTAAACAAGAGAGGGGAGCCTGGCAGGGCTGCAGGGATGGTCCAGGGTGGCCAGGCTCCCGTAAGCAGGAAGGCCACATCGAGGAGGAGGACAGAGTGGACAGTCCCATCTCTGTGGGCATTCCTGCCAAGCAGGATGGGAACACTTGAGCAGAAAGGACCTTTGACCTGAAGTGGCAGAGGCTCTAATGCTACTGTGTTTCCCAGAAAGTTTGAGCACATTCTGGTTACTCTGCAGTTACCTGTTGGGTCTTAAAAGTCCCAACTTGTTGCTGTCTTCTTGCCCCCCTTCTCTATTTCCCACTGCCCCTACCTTCTTTGCCTCTCCCCCCACACCCATCATACACCTGGGCTCCCAGCCTCTTCCCTTCCCTGCTGCTGCAGTGCACAGAGCCAGCCCAGTGCACCTCCTTCCCTCCCATCACCTGGCACCGTTAGCATCAACAAGCACCTTCATTTCCATAGAGTACACAGGGGTGGGCCTCTGGTCCATGGCTGTCTGTCACAGAAGGACTTGGGGAGGCTTTTCATGGGGGAACGCGGTATGGTGGAGGAGACTCCACCCCGGCTCCTCACTGCAGAGTGACAATGACAGGGCCAGTGGGAGCAGCAGGGGACAGGGCTGCCCTAGGGAAAGATGCTCTTTGTTTGTTACTCAGCTGGATTTGAGACACGGCCTCTCTGCTGACTCCATTACGGAATGACAGTCACCTAGAGCGACATGTTTAGGCGACACTCACAGGTGTCAATTGGAGAGGCAACCTGCTTAAGGCACTTTCCTGGGTGACAGGGATGCAGGGGGCATGTCAGGTGACAGCACTACAAAACAATAGGCTCAGGGGACGTATGAGGCTGACAGCTGCCCAGGTGAGATAGAAGGAATGACATGGCGGATACACAGGTGGCTACGCACAGGTAACCTCCATCCAAAGCAATGTGGTCAGGTGTGTTCACGCGAGAGCGACTCAAGGGACAGGGTTATGGACGGGCTTGGGGAAAGTAGCATAAGCCACATGTTGCTCTGACATGGGTAGATGACACTCCCAGGTGGAATGAAGATGGCTGAGGGCACCTGCAATGGGCTTTCTGACCAAGGAGGACATGGGCAGCCCTGGTTCCTCCTTCTCCTGGACCCTCACTCTGTGACCAACGCAGCCTTCCAGCCTTAGCCCACATCACAGGATGCTCAGTGATGGAGGCCTGCGTGTTGTGCTTCCTGTGTGTATCCTGGTCTACGTGCTGCCCTCTTCCCACTGCTGTTATGGCTGGGGGCGGACAGGGTGTGTGGTTTTCCTGCCACCACTAATCTCTCTTCCGATCCATTCTCCAGGTCTTAATGCAAATGGATGAATGGTATTTCTTCTTGAGACCCAAATCCTTTCAAGGCTCTTCCTGTTCTCCTGGGCCAGCACAGTAGGTCACCAGGAACAGCCCTGGCCTTCCCCAACTCCTTGTCCCTCTTGCCCTCCGCACAACAGCCTTCTCCCCTTCCCCACCTCATGCCAGGCTTTCCCATTCCTTCCAGTTCCTGGTTCATCAAAAAACATTACAACAATTTTTGGAATAATTCTAGTATTACAGGACAGCTGCAAAGGCAGCAGGCACCCTTGTCTCCCCCTGATCTGTTTTCTCCCAGTCCCCATCTTTGGGGAGCAGGTGCACCCTCTCCACGTCCCCGGGCAGGCTCTGGATCTCAAATGTAGATCCAGCTCTGCCAGTCACAGCTTTGATCCGAACTGATGCCTGGCTTCTCAGCACCTCATCAAACCCTGCGCCTCTCTGCCCACATGTTAGTCTTTCCAGAGTGGATTAAAAGGCCCCCAGACTTGTCCCCAGAATTGAGTGGCATCGATCTGCATGCTGGAAAGAAGGCTTTCCACAGAGAGTGGGGGCGGCAGGGGCGGGGCCAGTAGGCTGCTCTCCCACTCCCAATGAGCTGCAATCGATGCACTATTAATAACCGCAAAGGCTTCTGGGGAGATGAGCGTATTCAGGCCAGGGGCTGGAGTGTGTTCCCACTCTGAGCGTGGCTCCAAGCGTGAGTAGCAGACACACAAGAGCAGACAGAAAAGCGAGGGCCTTGCTGACTGTCCGCCCCTCTGGCCTGCGTGCCTCTGCCAGTGTATAGCCATATCAGGGCTGGTCACTGCAGCCTGGCCAGGGCCAGGAGCCAGGGCCATCTGCATCCCGGGCCCTGCTGTGTGCCTGTCCCAGCTGCGCCTCGGTGTGGATGTGTTAGGGAGAAAGTTAGACATCAGCCTGGGTGTGTGTGGGGGTGGGGAGGGGATGCTGGGGAGGACAAAACACCAGCAGAACTCCAAAGTTCACCCAGGGACCAGCTCTGGGTTTGACGACACAGAGTGCTGCCCAGACCAAGGAACAGCGCCCCCTACTGCCACCCGGGGAACCACTACATCCATCCTTTGGAAAAAGTAAAAGCCAAGGAACAGCAGACAAGCAATCCCTCCAAACAGCAATGGAGCAACGGGTCTTTTCTGTCCAGTCTGCAAAAGCTCCTTCCTCTCTGGAGGCAGAGGTGGGACCCTAACTTGTCTCAGGATCAAAGTCCCCATCTTAACCACATCCTACTGGGTCTTGGGGGTTCCGCATGTATTGGATGCAGTTTGCTCCAAGCCTGAGTGTCCCTGGGTTCCTTGCCTCTGTGTGTGTTTCCGATGTGTCTGTTACCTCACCAAGGTCTGGTCCACAAGCAGCGAAGTGTACATGCTGAAAGTTGACACGTTCGATCAGCCTTCCTAGATTGGAATCATGGCTACAATCAGGCTAACGATTGAACCCATCTTGCCCTTTCCAGTGATATCTACTTCCTGTCGTGGATCTGCCGTCTGGCGCTGCAGCTCACGTTTGCCAGGCATTGGAGAAGTTGCATCACAAAATGCACCTGTCCTGCTGTTGTCTCTCCCGCTCTTCTGCGCTGCTCTGAGATTCACTCACATGACCACATCATCACCAGTTCATCCCTTTGCGTGCAACCCGTTGTGTGGAGACATCGCATCCTGTCTGCTCACGCACCTGCCGAGGAGCGCCAAGTGCCCTCGAGTTGGGGCTGCTGCAAACGAAGCTGCTGTGATTGTGGACACAAGCTTTCACTTTGCTTGGGGGAGATATCTTGGAGTGGCAAGTCTGGGTGTTTGTTTAACCTTCCAGGCCGCTGCTCCACTCTTT